TTTAATATTTATCTTAAAAGTAAAGATTAAAAAAACCCTTTCATAATACTCCATTTATTCATTTTTACTTAATCTAATTTTTTTATCTAATAAAATGGAGATGTAATAATTTATTAATAAAATTTTATATTTATCCCTAATTAAATGTCATTTAAATAAGATTTTTTATTTAATATATGTTGTAATTATTTTTTTAAAATACATTAAATAATATCTTAAAAATAAAAAGTGAATAATTAAATTTGAACACACTAAATAAAAAATTAAATCTACCAAATTTGAATTAAAAGAAAAATTAATGAGAAAAATAAAAAAAATGTTAAAAAAATGTATTAGTTACGTGCTTTAATTAAATTTAAAAAATAATTTATAAAGACTATTAAAGTAAAACATATTATTAATTAAAATAAAAAATATATCATTATTTTATTAAAAATAATTGAGAATATGTATATTATATAATATTAATTCATTAATTTAAAAAATAATTAATAAATAAAAATATTATTACTAAAAACAAATGAAGTAAAGGAAAAAAAAACATGCAAAGGCGTGTAGGACTTGCAGGTGCAACGCCACGGAAGCCAATGACAAACGGCGTCAAGAAGTCATTAACGGTATTCGTTAGATTTGACGGAAGTTAGTTTTCTGTTCAATTGGGAACTTATTTGAGAATTTCGTGGAGTTTGAGACCTTAATTGAGTGCAATTGAAGTTTGAGTCCAACATTGTGAATTTTTCATAAATTTGGGTCCTTATGTCATATTTATGCCTTTTTATAGTGCGACTGACAACTACTTTTCTCAGATATATATGGGATACCAAATTACTACTAGTAAATTAGCTGGTAAACTTCTGATATTTTTTTGCAATATATATATATATTATGTATGTATTGTTGCACTTTTCCAATTTTCCAAACAGGAATACAACCCTTAGTAACTATGTTCCATTGGGATCTTCCGCAAGCCCTTGAAGATGAGTATGGTGGATTCTTGAGCCCTAACATTGTGTAAGTTATTACACTAGTTAGAGTTTAATCAATCGAACCTAGAAATTAATGGATGATGTGATATTAATATAAATTTATTTTAGGGATGACTTTCGAGATTATGCCAACATCTGCTTTAAAGAATTTGGCGATAGGGTAAAAATGTGGGTGACCTTGAATGAGCCAAACTTATTTAGTGACGAAGGTTATGCAGAAGGCAATTATGCACCCGGCAGATGTTCTGACTATATAGGAAATTGCACAGAGGGAAATTCAGCGACCGAGCCCTATATAGTGATGCATCACCTCATTCTTTCTCATGCAAATGCTGTACAATTGTATAAGAAAAAATATCAGGTTAGTAAAACTACTTTACATATGATGGATGGTAGTTAATAAAAATAGATATATTTAACTCAATTTCATTTTAATCAGGCCTTGCAAAATGGAAAAGTTGGAGTAGCAGTGTCCTGTAAATGGTATGTGCCAAAATTTGATACAATTGCTAGTAAGAGAGCTGCCCTGAGGGCTCGTGATTTTTTATGGGGATGGTTAGTATTGAAACACTTACATTTATTCTGTTTACCCCTTTTAATTTTTTCATCGGGGCATACAAAGTAACATAGATATATGGTACCAACTGTAATTGAATTTTTGTAGGATTATTAATCCACTCATATATGGTGACTACCCCAAAACAATGCGAGATCTTGTTGGAAGCCGTTTGCCCAATTTCACAAAACAACAATCTCGAATGGTAAAAGGGTCCATTAATTTCCTTGGATTGAACTATTACACCGCACGATACGCAAATGATTCTACATACTATAATAGTGTGAACTTGAGCTATACCACAGATAGTCGTGTCAATATTACTAGTAAGCTTCAATAACTTGACAGTTCAATGAATTATAATGAACTTGCAACATTTTCCTAATCATTATATATTTTGATTTGCATTTTGTTGCTATAGCGGAGAAAAATGGAATTCCAATTGGTGAACCGGTACACACTATATCTATCTAGCTTCTTTCCTCTCTATTAGCTTTTAAATTGAATTGATACTTGTCACCAATTTGTAGTAGGTTAAATGTCAATTTTTAGTTTTTGAACTTTTAATTTTGAACATTTTTAGTTTGTAAACTATTTTTTTCATTTTTTGGTCCTTAAACTATAAATTTTTTTTTTTTTTGTTTTTTTGTTAGTTTAATCAATTAAGTTTGCTTATATATGCATATTTTTAATCCCTACATTTATAAATTCAGAAAATAAACATATATGGATAGACAAAAGTACTAACTGATGGAATGACTAAAAGAAATTCATTTTTCATTGTTTAAAAACTAAAAAATACAAATAATAGTTTAAGAACTAAAAATGTTTAAAGCTAAAATTTTAGGGACTAAAAATAACATTTAACCTTTATTGTACTAATAAAATAATGTTACAAACAAATATTTTTTTTGTAGACCGACGTTAGCTGGCTGTACATGTATCCAAGGGGAATTAGAGATCTTCTACTATATATAAAAAGAAGATATAATAATCCAACTATTATTATAACGGAGAATGGTAAATTTTGTTATGTTCAATTTCTAACTTCTTTTCTTTAGATCATGAGAAGTTTGTCACTGATATATACATTTGGTCATTAATTTACAGGAATGGGTGATTTAAGCGATGAGTCATCAAAAATGAGTGATTTGATCAATGATACCTTGAGAATAAAGTATCACAGTTTGCATCTATTATATCTATCCAAAGCAATCAAGTCAGTAGCTAGTCAATGAATTAATTTGAAGGTTCTTCACAATTTAACCTTACATTTTTAATTTTGTTGTTTTTAATTACTTTTGCAGGGAAGGAGTCGATGTTAAGGGTTATTACATTTGGTCATTTCTTGATGACTTTGAGTGGGCTGCAGGTTATACCAACCGATTTGGCATTAATTACATAGACTATATAGATGGCCTGAAAAGATATTTCAAGAATTCTGCTTTGTGGTTCTATAATTTCCTTCTAAAGGAAAATGTTGCAATTGCAACTAGTTCATCTTTGTTGTATTCTGAGTGATGAAAATTCAAAGATCAACAGATTCTTTCATAACTCATCAAAGAGAAGTCCAACATTGCCTAAGCTTATATATACATAGTGTTGTATGTGGACCAATGTAAACTCATATGCTCAAGGTGAGTATATTTTGCTACTTTATAAAAAATAAATTATGTTCTTATCAATACAAAATCTCAAAGATCTAATTTAATCTCAGAGATCTATAAACCAACTTAATAAGAAAATAAACACTTGAATATGATTGAGATAGTGAATATTTGAGTTAAGAGTGCGTGGAATATTTAGAAGAATATGAAACAGCCTCACAACTCCTTTAACAAGGTATGAATGAGAGCCTTTCAATTGGCGAAAAACAGAATCTTGTTGGCTCAGTTTTATTTTTTTAATTACGTGGTTAGTCCAAAACTCTACCATATTGAATAGTTTAAAAGTTAAATGCTAATTTTGGTCTCTCAACTTTAGGATTTTGCACAATTTTCATCCCTCAACTTTTATATGCACTTTTGTAATCTTTATATCAGTTACTCCGTAAGTCCATCCAAATATGTACATTTTTAGTCCGTCAACTTATATTATATGAACATTTTTTGTCTCTCAATTTAAAAGTTCATAAACTAAAAATGTATATATATAGACAAACTTAATGAATTAACTAACAAAATGACTTAAAAAATGCATTTTTCATATTTGAGGGACCAAAAAAGTACATAAAAAATATGAGAGATCAAAACTACAAAATGCTAAAGTTGAGGGACCAAAATTGACATTTAACTTAGTTTAAAAGTTTGGATGCTGTGAGGACCCAATGTAGGTAGGGAAGGGCTTCAGTTTCACGTATAGGCGTGTTCTTTATTTTATGGATTGGAGTATCGTTAGTATTCATCACTAAATAAATAAATTTATTTTTATTTTTGAAAAAATAAAAAAACCTTCACAACTCTTTTGGTCACACCTTAACAGAATGGTGTTTACGGATGGTAGAAATTCAAATCTTTCTTCAACTTTTGCAAATTTCAACTAAAACATCTGCAAACTTATTAAATATCAATTGACATAATTTTTTCTTTCTGATCAACAAAATAAATCAATTGTTACATGCATACTTTAATAGTCTTTAAACTCAAGAAACCTAAAATTAACCTAAACATAGAATGGACCATAATTAAGTTTGCCAACCTTCTATTGAGAAGTAGAGGATTAAAAGTCATGAACTTCACCTTTTTTTTTTTTTTTTTTTTAACCAAAAATAATTATTTTGACTATAAAGTAATACAAAAGGTACTCCACCCATAGTTCATAAACAACTCAAAATCTGAAGGCAGAAACATAAAATACAAGACAACAAACTAAACCATATATATATCAGCATCTGATCACTTCTATCACCTCACTTCTGTCATCTAGTGCTCCTACATACGAATTCTTCAATAAATTTTTAATGCCTTGTGAAACTTTATAATGCTTTCTTCACACTCAACGGGATGTCCCATTCAATCTCGGGATGAAAAAAATGAGCATCCTGCCTCTTTTCCCTTGATCTGCACGAAGGTCTTGGCTTGAATTAAGTCCAACAACAGTGTTTCACAGTCACAGCCATTTCTAAACAAAATACCATTCCTCTAATATTAAATGTACCATGTTGTAATATTAGTATTTTAATAAAAAAATAAAAAATAATATATTTTATAAATTAAATTTATTATTTTATTAAGAACATAATCAAACTAATTGTTATAAGTTAATTATCTCACTTAAAAATACATTTTTTCATAATAATTACTCATACATCCTTATAAACTCAGTCTAGTAGTATTTAATATTTTTTCCTTATAAAACTTTCTCGTATAAAATTGAACTTACCGAATTTTTGTCAAGAATGACGCAAATGCTGTCTCAAGTGATTTTTTGGAGTAATGACAATTTGATTTTGAGTACTGGATAATGGCTTTGCAGACATCATGATGCCATTGAAAAGATATCTAAAAGAAAAGGAAAAGAACAATATTAAATATACTATTATTATCTCACACTACTAGAAAACATAAAATCACCGAGCAAAAATCACCGATGTAAGATGATTTGTCGGTGAATTAATAATTTACCGACAAAAAGAAAGTCTGTAAAGTGATAAATAGTAGCATTAAAATTAATTTATGTTATT